CTCCCCTATGTAAATACTATTCCAAATTAAAGTTAGTTTTATTCTGGAATAGAGTGTCCACACAGGGAGCTATTCTGGTTTAGCTATAGTGGAATAATTATTCTGTTATAGCTGTGTTGATCAATTTCCCCAGATAGACAAGCCCTGAAGCTCTGCCTCACTTTCCTCATCTGTAAAATAGGGATAATAATACTTAAAGTGCTCTGAGGTCCTCAAATACAAGACGCTATAGAAAAGTATTATTTAATCTGAGGTCTTTGCAAACCTTGCTGCACAAACTTCTTTCCAGCAATATTTAATGGTGCCCTTTGAACTGTCAGGGTAGTGTCTGTTTGTTGCATCTTTAAGGAGGAGAGAATGTGTTGGAGCAAGTTTTGGCACAATTGGCTCAATATAATAGAAACTCTGAAAGGTTCTTCGTCTGGCGAATGTAGTTTCTTTCCATGTTCAGCAGGGCCAAGAAGGATCAGAGATTAATGGTGAGGTTCAGTCCTGCTGGCACTTCTAAAAGTGCTATCTGAGGACATCAGGAATCTCTCCCCACTGGGGAAGCAGCATCTACGTGGAAGTGTAGCATGTGACACTGGCAGTGTTGGGATAAATCATGGCAAAATCGGGACTGGGAGCAGAGATTTAGGAAGAAGGAGAACCTGGGGAAGAAACTAAAATGACAGCCCTGGTGAGTAGCATGAGATGAGGGACCAAATGATTGCTAAAGTGAGCAGAGGCCAAGGAAAGGGGCCATGCAGCCTTTAGGAGAGAGAGAGAGAGAGAGTTTGGAGATACAGATGGAGAGAGAAAGGGGGGAAAAGGAGGAGGAAGGGACAGAAAGGGGAATGGATGGATGACTAAGGAAGGGCAACAAAAATGATTAAGGGTATGGAACGGCTGCCATGTGAGGCAAGATTAATAAGACTGGGACTTTTCAGCTTGGAAAAGAGACGACTAATGAGGGATACGATTGAGGTCTACAAAATCATGACTGGTGCGGAGAAAGTAAATAAGGAAGTGTTATTTACTCCTTCTCGTAACACAAGAACTAGGGGCCACAAATGAAATAGGCAGCAGGTTTAAAACAAACAAAAGGAAGTATTTTTTCACACAATGCACAGTCAACCTGTGGAATTCCTGGCCAGAGGATGTTTTGAAGACTAAGACTATAACAGGGGTCAAAAAAGAGCTATTTAAGTTCATGGAGCATAGGTCCATCAATGGCTATTAGCCGGGATGGTGACCCTAGCCTCTGTTTGCCAGAAGCTGGGAATGGGAGACAGGGGATGGATCACTTGGTGATTACCTGTCGTGTTCATTCCCTCTGGGGCACCTGGTGTTGGTCACTGTTGGAAGACAGGATACTGGGCTAGATGGACCTTTGGTCTGACTCAGTATGGCCGTTCTTCTGTCAGGATGTAGCCCTGTGGTCCATTTCTCCCCACGCAGGATCAGGGCCGGCTCCAGGCACCCAAGCACATGCTTGGGGCGGCACCTGGTAAGGGGCGGCGGGGGGAGCGCAGCGCGGCATTCCGCGGGGTGGGGGGGCGCTCCAGCGGCGCAGC